ATTTTGAACTCATTGTTCTCCATATGGGTACTTCAGCGAAAAGTTTCAGGAGAGCAGCCATTTACAAATCGAATAACGGCTTTTTTATCGAAAATACTGGCTCATAATATTTGGATACGCCTTTTTCATGGTCAGTTTACTGAATTATACACGTAACTTATATCTACCACCAATACAATAACAAATAAGAGCGTATAGCCCATTTCGCTAAAGTAGAAGGCGGCCATTTTGGAAAATGGCGCGCCGTAGCTGTCCAAGGCACAATCTCGGGTGGCTCCATATCTAGAATTGTTCGGAATACATTATTCTACATGTGTACCAATTTTGTGCTTTTATGAAAAAATGAACAATTGATCTGAAATATCAGACTACGCTGCAGGACTACTTATCCCTAACTCTATCGCTGAACTCCTAGCCATAACCTTATAACCACCCGCAATCATATCCTTAACCATAACTCTAACCCACCCTATCCCTGCCCTAACCCTGACACCAGCCCTAATTACCCTAACCATATCTCTACCCATAATTCTAACCTTAACTCTAACCCCAACCCTAAACCCCCATTCCTCTCTATTATGACTTTGACTATGTTTCGCCATCGAACGGCCACCACTCGATCGAATGACGCACTACCGTCTTCCTTGCCTCGCAGGCGGCCTCTCCACGTCGAACGGCGCCCGATGGAGAGAGTACGTAAGTTTGTCGTCTGCGCCTCTCCGCCAGCTGGAGTCGCGCGCGCGCGAACATCGAATCTCGTATCGCAGCCGAAGTCGCGCATCTCGTCAAGGTCATCGCGGTCACTCGACGTAGGCCGTTCGCGCCGGACGCCGTCTACGGCTGCATGTCGAACGTCATGTTCGCCATCTTGTTCGGCGCTCGCTTCGCGCAACGGACGACGCCGATTTCCGCCGCTACGTGCGCGACCTCCGCGCCGGATACAGGATGAGCGCGCACTGGCGGCGCTCCAACTGCTTTCCGATGTTGGCCCGCCTGCCGCTGATGCGTCGCTCGCTGCGGACGCTACAGAATCGACGAGCTGCGCATGCGTTCATCGCCGACCACGTTTGCCGACCACGGAAAGGTGCTGACCGACGGCGAGCAGCCACGTGACTTCATCGAACGCATGCGCCATGGAGGAGCAAGGCGCAGGAGACGTCGGGAAAAGAGGACGACCATTTCTCCGGTAAGCATCTTCGCGCGAGAGGAACCTATTTGTTACGGTATTAGTCGCGTAGTAACGTACAGCCGGAAAAGAAAGAGAATTGCGAGACTACAATATATATCGCAAATCTCAGAATTTCTTCGTAGTTCTTTAAAATGGTCTTTGGTGTTCATCAATGGAACCTCGTCTGATGAGATTGAGACGCCAAATAAATTCTGTAAATTAAATACAATATTCATATTCTGCCAATGATGTGCCTGCAATGTGTTAACGGAAGTAGAGAAATGGCTAATTAACGCACGGTGTCGCCACCGTCATTTCAAGAAACGCAGATTCGTTACTTGATCGGCGACTTGCTGGCGTCGGGTATCATCACTCGCGACAACCTCGTCGTCTGGGGTCTGCTGCTCGCTCGCCGCTGCATGCCGACGTACAGGCCGACGTGCAGGGTGAGATACACGAGACGGTCGGCGAGGCCAGGGCCCGCGCGCGTCGAAAGACATGGCCTCTATGCCGTACACTGCTGCCACCGTGTGGGAAGTAAGTGCTGCTTACGACGCCATTTTACTGTCAGGAACAATTGGGAATCGAAATTATTCTTGAATTCTCACACGATTCCGCAATCCTGCCCACTTACTAGCGAATTAAACGATGTAATTATGCCAATTGACGAAACAAAATTATATAGAATGCTAAAATCACATGACATTACGAAACTAAAACCATTCCGCGAATCAATGGCGATCAGAATCTGTTAAACTAGAAATCCAGAGAGAGAGAGAGAGAGAGAGAGAGAGAGCGAGAGAGAGAGCAGGGAGGGAGAGAGAGAGAAAGAGAAGGCGTATAATGTCTCTCTTTCCCTCTGTCTATTTCAGACACTGCAGGTCAGTGAGTTGCACCAGGAGTTGAACTCTGCAGGAATCCGCTGTTCGCAACCTAGGTTACTGGACATTCTCGACTCCCTCTGTGTCAACTTCACCGTCCAGAGGTCAAACCAGCAGAGATGTAGGAAAGGCAGAAAACGTGGCAAAGCAAGGAGATCTCCAAAGTCTTCCCAAAAATAGAGCTATTTCTGTGCGCTTTTATCACGCGTTCATGCGTGATGTTTCAGTGTGATGTTGATAGGATGATGGTTTTTTTTCAGAGCTATCATAGGTTAGATAGATGTGCTTAGCAAGCTGATTTGGGTTGCTATGTGTGGACGTTGTTGTGAGATTAATTTTGCCAAATTTCAGAACATTAGGTGAAATTGATCATGACTGGTGACTGTTTTTTACGTTAATGAATTCGTGTAACTTGTAGTGATGCAAGATTCCAGTTCCATAAGTCATGTAGCACACACATTGCCATCTACTGGTTAATTGAAATGTTATTGTTACGTAATCTAGGGCTATCTATTATAATAAAGACCTGCACGGGAATTAATCTTTCATGGTTAGCTATGAATAGCTAATTACAGTAAAATATTATACATATCTATTAAACAGATAATGGGAATATGCACACACAGGTTCCCTACCATGCTACAGAGTAATTTAGTACAGTAGATACCCTATGATTATTCAAGGGATTTGTTGGCGTGTGCGCTCTATATTAAAAGAATATATATGTATGAAGCACACATGTCGCCAACTATTGACTGATTCAAGTTCAGTAGTGTTACGTCAATCAGGAAAACGGACAGGGTTTATTTTTCGCTCATCTGACATAGTCAGATGCTGCTTGTAGAATCGCATGAGCGTGCGTCCGTGCGTGCGTCCGTCAACAGTTGGGCACAAATCTAACACGCACACACGCACATACACGCACACACCCGCACACACGCACGCACACACACACACACACACACACTCACACGCACACGCACACGCGCGCGCGCGCACACACACACACGCACGCACGCGCACTCACACACACACACGCGCGCGCGCGCACACACGCACACGCACGCACGCACGCACGCACCAATGCAGCACGCACACACACACTAAAGGCCATGTCCACATAAACCAAGTATTGTGCGAGAGATCACACAAGGGACAATGTACAGAAGATTACACAAACGGGCAATGACAGAGTGGCGAAGGGGCGCAGAGGCGGCAGAGACGACCACGGAAACGATAACGACGATTAACGAGAGAGATCTTCCGTCTGAGCGAGAGAGCGAGGAAAGGAGAGAGAGGGCGAGGAGAGAGATGGTGTCGGCAATAGTAGCCAACCTTGTGACGATGGCGATGTGTGTGTTGGCTGGCTTCGCGGCCCTTCCTCGCGCGGCGGAGGCGGGAAATCCGGGTTTAATTCGCATACCAGTCGGTAAGATTTATATACTAGAATTAATTTCGTTCTAGCTCGCGGTCTGTGATACGCTTCATCTCACCGTTAGACACAGGGTCGGTTGTGTGATAAATACGTCTG